CTACCTGGAGAGGCGCCGCCCGCAAAAAGGCGCTGGCGTCGGCCACGAGATGCTCCACGGGCGCCATACTGAGCCCGGCCAGAGAGCAGCGACGCGCTAGAGCGGCACTGGCGCCGGAGGAAGTGCCGCGGTTTCCGGGTGCCCCCCCCCACGACTCATGCGGCCGCTCTGCTCCTCCATGCTCCGCTCGCTGATCCGGCCGTGCCCGGGTGACCCGCCGTCACGTGACAGGCTCCAAGAGGCGGAAGCGTCCCGGAGCCGCGCCGGGAATCCCCGTCCAGAAGCCCCCCGGGGCCCCGGAGGTCGCGGCGGCCGCTCCGCAGGTGGGCGGGCGGGCTGGTGGATGCGTGCAGGGCGCCCCCCACCGGGAGGAGAGCCCCTACTCCGCGGCCGGCTCCCCGCCGCCTTGACCGCGCCGGGCCGCTCCTCCCCGGACTTCGCCCCGGCAGAGCCAGGCGGGGCTTCTTCCGCCCCCTCGGAACCTCCGGGCTCCCGAGCCGCCAACCCCGCCGGGTCAAGCGGAGCCCCCGTGGCCGCCTCCGCCTCTTGCCGGCCGCCCCGGGACCTCGCCGCCCCCTCTGGGCTCCCCTTTCCCCGCGTTGCGGCTCCGGTGCCCGCCGGTCTCTTGGCGGCGGGGAGGCTCTGCGTCCGTCCCTGCCTGGAGCTGAAGCGCCCCGCTGTCACCTTGCAGGTGCTGAGGATGCGATGGCCTCCGAGGGGCTCCCTGGGGAGAAATCTCCGCTGACGGTGAAAGGTGGGTCCCGCTTTGCTCGTCCGGCTCTTGGCTGGAAGGCTCGTCTCCTGCCCGGCCAGGGGTCATCGCCAGCAACGGCTCTGGTCCGCCTCCGGCTGTAAAGGGAAGGGGAAACGCTGCCGTCTCTTCCGCCGGAGGCAGCCCAGGGTCTCCCCTGGCGGCTTTCCTAAGGGCAGGTGCGGTTCCTGAACTGCTCTTGAAGGGCTCTAGCGGGACGCAGCCGCGGTAAACGGTAATAGGGTTGGAAGGGACCTTAGAGGCCATCTAGTCCAACCCCCTGCTCACGCAGGAGACCCGTACCAGGGATTCGAACCGCCCAAGTGCCAACCTTTCTTATTGACCAACTCAGTGTCTTAGCCACTGAGCCACCTAGTCATCCGTAATGGCTTCGGTGTGCAGGGAGACATTTGACTGCAGCTCAGACTGCCCAGCCCAGCCTAGGCCTTCCCGGGGTCTGTCCCCCCCCTCCCCTGAACCCCGTTATTTAAAGCTCCCCTAATCAAACTGCAAAGCTCCCTGCACTTTGAATAAACGCCTGTGGTGTCTATTCTTCCTGTTTAGTGACCTTGAAAACCTCGCTCGCTCCTCGCTCTCCTCTAACTCCGTGTGTCCTTCGGGACCAGGGTCACATCCTGGTGCAGAGGCAGCATAGTTGGGGGAGCCCCTCCGCAGCCCCTTCAGGCTGGCCAGCTGCTTGCCATGCCCCTTGAGCGCCACTAGGGGGCTCCCAAAGTCCAGTGGCTCCTCCCAGAGTCTGGCCAGGCCCTGGTGCTGATGCCCTCCCTCCCTCCCTCCCTCCTCCTCCTCTGGAGGTTTCCAGGGAGCTTCGGCCTAGAGGGCTCTCCCTCAGTTGGGCGTTGTGGCCCTTCGAGGCAGTAGTTACTCTGCACCCGTGGGACCTGCTTTGTCGAAACCCTTTCAGTTAATTGAAGGAGAAGCTGGGGGGCCTCCTTGCCCTGGGATCCTGCCAGGCACGTAAAGGGTGGGTCCGGCTGTGTGCAGGGTGGCCTATTTGATGGGCGGGGGGGGGGGCAGGGCAGAGGCCGGGATGAGTGAGGACAGTCACGTCCGTCCCTTCCCCCCACAGTTGTTTCAGCAAAGCCCAAGGCCCAGGGCCGCCACTCTCGCATCACCTCCTTTGTGGAGGTAGTGGCAGACGGACTCGCCAACGAGGCCAAGAGAACAGGGAAGCAGACCGGGAGCTCCGAGCTGCTCTGGAATGAGAGCCTGGTGCTGTAAGGACCGGGGGGACCCTGAGGCCTTGGGGTGGGGTGGGGGGGAGAGCATTGCTCCGTCGGCCGTACATCCCCGCTCCAGCTGGGCTGCCCACTATAGAAGCAGCCCCTTGCTGGCCGAGGGGGCTTGCCAGGCAGATCCGCCGGAGGACCGGGTGGGGATTGCTCTGCCACAGCTGCCTCTGAAGGGCAGAATGCCGGGTGCTCCTGCCTGCTCCGCTTGGGCCCCGCTTAGGTTTCCCCCCGTTTCTAATGCTTTGCCTGTCAGCCAGTCGCAGGGGCTGAACACGCCGTCCTTCTCTCTCCCAGGAATGTCACTTCTCAGAGCCACCTGGATCTGAAGCTCTGGAGCTGCCACACCCTGCGCAATGAGCTGCTGGGAGTGGCGTCCGTCAGCCTCCCCAGCGTGCCGAAGCAGAGCAAGGGGCCAGGTATCTCCCTGCCCTCCTGGCCTGGCAGCAGGAACACCCAGCCAGGAAAGGAACAAGGCCACCTTGTGAGCAGCTGGGCGGCCTCCTAGGCCCGCAGTGGGGCGATGGCGGCAGCAGCAGCTGCTGAGACGGAGGCCGTCCCTCCTCTGGCTGCTGGCCATCTGCTGCCCCCCTTGGCAGTTCCTGGGGTGGCCCTGGCAGCTGCGGTGCATAAAGGTCTCCATTCAGGGGCAGCACAGGGCTCCGTCTGTTCGGCCCAACTCCCCCCCTCCCTCCTGGCTCCCGTGCAGAGGAAGCCGCCTCCCGAGTGGGGCGGGGCTGAAAGGAAGCAGGGAGAGCAGGGAGTGGAGGCTCCCGTCGTCCTGCCTGGCGCTGCTGGTCCTGCTGCCTTGGAGGTCTTTGCCGCTTGGGGCAGCCGCGTCGGACGGAGCCTGGGGTGCCCTTGCAAGCACTGGGCCTTTGGGGGCCACCCTTCCTGAGGCGCCCTTAGTGGCTGGGGCCAGAGGGCAGCACTGGGGCGAGCCTCCCCTTTTGCCAGCTGCTTGCTCACCTGAGCCGCCCGTCCTTCTCTGGGGCTGCAATGCTCCTTTCATCAGGCGGAAGGCAATTTGGGGGAGCAGAGGGAAGCGATTGTGCTGGATGCAGGATGGGATTTGCCTGACTTCAGCTGCAGGGAAAGGCTTGGAACTGGGGCCCCAGGGCTCTGGCCTTACACTTCCCCAGCGGTTGTAACCCAGACTGGGGGAGATGCTGGGCGATGGGGAGGCCCGGAGGAGACCTGGCAACTCCATGGCCTGCATGTCCAAGGGAAATGGGGCGGGTTCTCCTGTCCTACCCCAGGAACGGGGCAGCCAATGGACTTCCTATCCCAGCGAGGGAGAGTGAGGAGGGGGAGGCCAATGGATCCTCTCTGAAAGAGCGGCTGGCTCTTCCTCCGTCCCCTCCTGCCAGGCTCTGCCCAAGAAATGCCCCTTGATGGGAACATTCACCACTGCTGAATCTCCTGCTTGGCCTTTTTCAAGCAAGGACCAGACTGGCCAAACTCTGTGGCAACAGAGCCCCCCCCCCTCCCAGGAGCTGCCTTTGACCCTGCTGGGAAGGGACTTTCCTGGGCTCCAGCTGAGCCCTGCCAACCCCCCCTCCCCTCCTACAGCAGCTCCCCCAGGGTCTGAGGCTGCCTGTTGGCCCCTTCTGGGCTGGAGAGGGGAGGAGAGGCAGGCAGCCCTCTGCAGCCTGAGCAGGGGAAGGGATCTGAAGCCCCAGGCCCCTCCAGGCCCTCCTTGCAGGGGCCTCTTGGCTCTCTCGCCCGAAAGGGGAGGGGTCTCCCTCTCCTGCCTGGCCTAAGGAGCCTCTCATGGATGGGCAGGGAGGAGGCCTTGCCCACGGATGGGGGGCAGGGCAGCAGTTGATTTCCTGATGGTGGGGGCACCTGGAGCAGGGCGGGTGTGTATTGGGAGGGGAGTGGAAGGAAAAGCTCTGGGGGAATCAGTGGAGGTGAGACAGAGTCCTCCTTGTCCTGCTCCTCATTCTCTGCGTGTATTGAGGGGCATTTGGGGAGCTCCCCCCCCCCGTGGGAGTGATGGCATGCAAGGGGGGGGGGGCTGCTGAGCAGAAGCTGCCTTGCCTCCACAGACACCAGTCCTGCAGGCTGCCGCTCGGCCTGGGGGCTCTCCTGGCCAGGGAGGGCAGCCCCTCCAGTAGGACTCCTGGGCATTGGGGACCCTCCCTGCCCCCTCCAGCTTTTTCCATGGAGCCTCTCTGGATTTCCAGATCTTAAAACACAGAATCAACCCTGGAAACAGTTTTCCAGAAGATAATTGGGCCCCGGTTAAAAAAAAGGGAGTCCCGTGTTTTGTAACTCAGAATTTATGGTTCTAATTCCTTTTTTTCCTTTCTTGAAATTTTTATGTTCTACTTTGAGATTAGTTGCAGTTCTGAGGCGCTTTTATATACACTTTTCAAACACTGAACCTCTTTTCCCCAGCCCCAAAACTCTTTCCATTTCTCTCCAGATCCCCTTTCTGTAAGGGGCAGCCCCCCCCCTCAAGTCCAGCTCCTCTTTTCTGGCGTCTGTTCCTCTCCCCACCCCCACCTCCTCAGTCCGTGGGGGCCCTTTTTCAGGAGGAGACTGGCATCCCCCCCCCAATGGGAGTCCCAGCCAAGGGAAGCCAATCCAAGGCCCAGGCTGCCCTTGGGAGCCCCTCTGGGGAAGCCCCCTGGGACAACTGGAGGGCTCTGGCCTTGATGGGGCCCACAGGTGGGGCTTTCCTTAGGATGCGCTGAGTCCTCCGCTTGGAGAGGGGGCTCTCATCATCCTCGTGGAGGGCAAAGAGGATCTGGGGAGCAGCAGTGGGGAGGGGGGCTGCTGGGGGGGGCAGAGCAGAAGTCAAAGGTCTTTATGGGGCATAAAAGGAGTCGTCTCCAGGGCTGAACTCCCTCCGAGTGGGTGGGGGGAGTTGGAGTTTGGCCTCGGGTAGCAGTGGGGTTCCTGCTGGCACCAGAGGGGGGTGCAGGGAGCGTTCGGAGGCGATGGGGGGGGATGGAGCTGCCCGATGAGAAGCCCTGGGGTGAAGCTGGCTCGGGCCTTGTGGATGCTGATGGGCAACGGCTTTCGCCCCCACAGTGGAGAACAAGCCGATGACCTTGAACCTGCAGGCGGAGAGCAGAGGCGGCCTCCTCTCGGGCGGGGAGCTGACGGTCTTCCTGGCTGGGCCTGGCATTGAGGTGGACGGCCTGCCTAACGGCCCTGGCGCAACAGCTGAAGGTGAGCGAGCAGGAGCTGCCCTGCACGGGTGCCCCCCCCATCCCTGCCTGCCTCTGCAGGACCCGGGGGGGAGGGGGGCTGCAGGCACCTCGTGCCCCCCCCAGCTGAGCCCTCTGGGGAGGGGGAGCAGCCTCTGGTCGGAGGGTGAGGGGGGCAGATGCTCCAGGGCAAGCAGGCGGGGGGGGGGGCGTTTGAGGGCTGCTGGTGCAGCTGGGCTCCGAGGCCTGCCAGAAAGCACCTGGGCAAAACCCTTCGGCCCCATGGGGAAGCCTTCGGGGGGCCTCAGAGAACCCGCAAGCTTTTCTCCAGGCCTGCCTCCTATTGCAGGCCCCCAGCCCTGGGTGGGGGGGACGGGACAGGCTGGCTGCGTTCCCCAGCTTCCTGCTTTTCCAGGGCCCCAGGGAGCCAGGAGGGAGTCTGGGGGCCCAGCCGCCTCCCCGGAGAACAGGCCCCAGGCCTCCAACACAAGCGGCCTTGGTGGCTGCTCCAGGTAAGGTTCTGGAGGGGATGCCCCCCAAGGATGGAGAAGTTGCCCGGAGGCTCCTGGGCTGCAGGGGGAGGAGAGCCAGCCCTACTGCTCCCCCCAAGGCTTTCCATTCTTCTGGCTGAGGGGGTCCTTTCACCAGGCTCCCTGGGGGTCACTTGGCTGCTGCAAAGGCTCTGGAGGGGGGGGGTCATGAGCTCCTCCCCAAACGGGGCCCTCCCTTCTGTGTGTGGGGTGGGGGCTTTCCTGGGAGGGGAGCTGCAGATGCACCCTGCTCCTCCGGCTTCCCTGCTGTGCTGCCACCTGAAAGCCCTGGGAGGGGGGCCTGGCTTGCTCTCCCGGCCTGTGGTTGCCCCCCCCTCCCAGCCTTCCCCCAGCCACGCCCATGTCCTTTCCCTGGTCCTATTTTAAGCTCCGTAAGCTTTGCCATGTGACTGCCTTGGTTCACTTCCATGGGCTATTAAAGGACGGCCCCACATTTGGGGGCCCTGGGAAGGCAGCATTCAGCCCTCTGGCAGCATTCAGTCCTCCTCCGGAAGCAGCCGGGGTGGGGGTGGTTCTGGAACCCAGGGGGGCATTTGGGGTGCGTGGGATCATACCCCCCCATCGGGGGAGTCGGTGAGGTGATTGTATTCACTGATCTTTGTCGTCAATCTTATAAGACGGTTCTGTCAGCCCCTTAGGAAAGGGGGCAGCCCGTTTTCCTGGAGCCTACAGGGCCGAGGATTCTGGGAATTGGAGTTCCCAGAGAGGCCTCCCTAGTTCCGCCCGGAGCATTGAGCGGCCATTGCAAGTGAGGCTGCCCAGCAGGAGAATGGTGACCTCCGTGCCAAGCGTCTCATGGGGCTGCTAACGTTTGAGCCCCCCCCCCCAAAGGAGCCCCCTCAGGCCCCCAGGAGGCCTCTGGGGCTCTCTGCTCGGCTCCCCTCTTGCCCAGGAGCCCAGGGGACCAAAGCCAGGGGACGGGGGCAGCAAGCCTGGAGGGGGAGGGGCTGTGAGTGGTGATCTCCGCTTTCTCTCCTTCCCAGAGCCCCCAGGTCAGAAGCGGAAGCCCCCAGGCAGAACGTGGGCGCCCTGGAGCACAGCCCGAGCCTGAAGGTCCATCCTCCTCAGCTGGGCAGAGGCCAGGAGGGCAGCCAGAGCAGGGCAGGTTGGCCTGGGCACAGGGGAGACGCTTGTTCAGCAGGCCCTGACAGTTGCATTGGGGGGGGGGGCTCCAGATGCTGTGCTCTGGCTGGGGCTGTTGGGAATTGTGGTTCAGCAGCCGCCAGGGGCACCTGGGGCACTGTGGGGAAGGCCTGGAGGAGGGCACTGTGGAGCCTCTGTCTTTGCAGTGAACGGAGAGTCCGGGAACCCCGCAGTCGAGGCTGAGGAGCAGCCGGCTGGGCCCCCGGAGGCCTCCCCCCAGCCCAGCGTGGCTCAGCCCCCCCCAGAGGCCGAGGAGCCTGGCCCAGACGTCCCGGCCTCCCAGGTGGCCGTCCAGGCACTGGAGACGCTGCCAGCCGGGTAAGAGGCCAGAAGAGGCCAGAAGGGAGGAAGCGGCCGGGGGGCTTTGGGGAGACCTGGCCTGGAAGGGGAGGCCGGTGGTTTTGCGCAGGACTCTGGCTTCCTTCCACAGGGGGCTCTTGTACACCCCCCCCCCCAGCACAGAGGCCTCCCTCGTTTTCCAACGGAAGGGCTCTTCGTACAGCGCCTCCTGGGTGGGTGTGTCACCGCCAGTCCTCAGTGCGTCCTTGTGTAGTTGTGTGAGCCCTGTTGTGTTTGGCTCAGCGGCTGCTGGAAAAATCCCAGCCTCTCAGAAGCTCTTTCATGCCCAGGGCTCGGCTGCGGTGAGGGAGGGTCCCTGTGGTCGGGGGGGGGGGGCAAGGCTCCCATGCGCAGTCCCTGCATCCCCTCTCCCCCCACCCCAACTAGTGCTTGCCCTCAGTTCTCCTCCAGTGGCCCAGAGCTCTGCGTTGCCCCATTGGCCTGGAGGAGGGCTTGCGAGTGCAGAGGAGACCCCTTCCAGAAGGCCCCTCCCCAGTGGATGCGACTGGCTGCCCCCCCCCCTCTGCCCTCCAGCCCAGCATCTGGTTCCTATCAGCAGTGCGTCTGCCTCACTGACCCAGGGCCTCACCCGCTCACCATTCCCCTCTCTTGTGCACACAAAGGCGCATTATGCTGCCTGCCACAAGCACGGCACGGGCTGCGCTTCCTTGCGCAAGGCCGGGCCTCTCGCTCGGGTGGCCAGAGGGGCTCGGCCGTTCCGCTCCCGGCAAAGCCTTGGCTGCTTCGCCTGGACAGTGGCTGTTGACAGGGGCCCCGTGCGGAGCTCCTGGACTGTGGCCGGAGGGGAGGAGGGGCAGCGTCTCTCTTCCAGGGCTGCCCTTCAGAGCCTTGACGAGGGGCTGCCCTCTGCCCTCCCTGGGAGGGGACCCCCTTTGGGGCAGCAGAGATGGCCTTCAGGCTTGGCTCTCCAAGAGATCCCGAAACACCCGGGGGAGGAGGAGGAGGAGGGAAGCCGGGGGTCTCTGGGAACGGCCCCCGCGGCCCCCTCACTTCCTCCTTGCCCACAGGTGGGAGCAGCGGGAGCTCCCTAACGGGAGGGTCTACTACGTGGACCACAACACCAAGAGCACCACCTGGGAGCGCCCCCTTCCGCCAGGGTAGGTACTGCAAGGGGCGGGGCTCACCCCAGGGGATGCATCTGCGGCACCCAAAGCCCCCGGGGAGTCTGGTTCCAGGCAAGCTGCCCCCCCCCCAGGCGCTCCCTCCAGCCCCTCCCCGGGACCCTGGCCAGCAAACTGGAGGTGCCGAGCGCCCAGCCCCACGGGGGCCCCGAGGGAAGCCGCGTTAACCTAGCGGGGAATTCCTCTTGTGTGCAGCTGGGAGAAACGTGTGGACCCCCGTGGCAGGTATTACTTCGTGGACCACAACACACGCACCACCACGTGGCAGCGCCCCACCGCTGAGTATGTGCGCACCTACGAGCAGTGGCAGAGCCAGCGCAACCAGCTCCAAGGCGCCATGCAGCAGTTCAGCCAGAGGTTCCTCTACCAGGTAGGGGCCTTCGGACACACGGGCTCCCCCCCCCCATCTCTCTCTCGGAGGCAAAAGACCCGCTGGCAATCGAGAGCCATCCCAAGGGAGGCTGGCTGGTGCCCCCATTAGGCAGACCCCCTTGGGAGCCTCCTCCAGCTGTCTCGGGGTTGGTGGATCCTGGGATCTTTCTGGCTGCACTGAATCTGCCTCAGGTGGCGGCCGCAGCCCAGGCTGGTAGGCAGGCAGGTAGGAAGGGAAGGGAGAGGGGAAGGGGGGGGAGGGCTTGAGAGGGGTGCTGGGGGAAGGTTGCTCTGGGGCTCCTCTTGTTCCCTTCATTGGCAGCACAGTCCTGAGGCTGGGGGGGGGGGCAGGATCAGGCCCCAGGCGTTTGAGTAGAAAAGCCCCAAAGAAGCTGCTGTGTGTAACTCCTCAGTGGACGCTGGGACTCCCCCTCCCTCCCTTGACTGGGTGGGAATCCGCCCCGCGCACCTTTGGGGCACAATAGCTGCTTTTTCCGCCTCCTGCTCTGCCTCCTCTGGCCGTCCTGCCCCCTCCAGAGCCCCTGCTGAGAGCCAGGGAGGGGGGGGGGCTGTGTAAACAACCGGCCGGGGCTGCTGCTGCTGCTGGCAGCCGTGTCGCACCTCCCACCCGGCCCCTCTGCCTGTAGTTGCATAAAGGTGCTTTGTACCGGCCTGGGCGGAGGGGGCTGCTTGGGGAGACGCCTGTCTGGGTGGCATAAATGTGCCCTCTCAGGCCGAGCCCGTCTCGCGCCCAGGCGCTGGTTTCGCACCCCCGTGTGAGGAGGGGGAGGAGGAGGCAGCGGTGGGCGGCCGGCCCAGCCAGGAAGCTCTGGGCGTGGCCGGCTTGTGGGAATGATTTCATTGGAAAGGCCTGCCACATTTCCCCTCTCGCCTGTGGCTGGAGGAGGCTGGCCGTGGGGCTGCGGTGGGCTCCTTGCCTCAGCCAGCACGGGGCCAGAGGCGCTCCCACGGCTGCCCCGAGCAGCCACACGCCAGATGCCGCTCGGCTCCCCTCTCGGGCCCCGGGCAAAGGGGGCACGGTGGGCGGCTGCCTGTAAGCCTGACCAGCCTGGCCCTGGCTTTGCTCCCTCCAGTCCTCCGGCACGGCTGCTGACAACGATCCCCTGGGCCCCCTTCCCTCCGGCTGGGGTAAGTACCTCAAGCTCCAGGGCAGCCCCCCTGGGCTCTGAGTGCAAATCCTGCCTTCCCTGTGAGCCTGCCTCCTGCCCTGGGGGAGTCCCTCGCTTCCCCCTTTTCCTTTCCTCCTGGGGGGCTGGGAGGGGGGACTCTGCTTCTGATGAGCCCGGCTTGCCTGGGAGATCCCTGAGGGCGGGGCAGCTGGGGGAGGCTGCTGAGATGGAGCCCGAGGGAGCCCCAAAGTCTGACAGGAATCTTGGAGGGGGGGATGAAACTGCCCTGTGGCAGCTGTGTGGCCCTTGCACTGCAGCACCAGCTAGGGGGCCAGGAGCCGGCCTGCTCAGGAGTCCAGGAAGCTTCCGGGGCGAGTCCTCCCTCTGGCAGCCGTTCTCTTTCAGCCCAGCCCACCTCCCGGGGGTGATGGGAAGTGCCAGCCTTCGGTAGGCTGCCCGGAGTTGTGCAAAATGAAGCTGGGTTATCAGTGATGCTTCTCTCCCGGCCTTTCAAGGCTTGAGAGCCCCACCTGAGGGCCAAAGAGCCAAACGGCTTTTCTGGGGGGCTGTGAGCAGGGCAGGGGGGGGGGCTGGGCTGGGGGCCGAGCAGACTGGCAGGCTCTGCAGAGCTGGAGGAAAGGAGCAGGGAGGGGAGGGGGCTGCCACAAGAGCCCCCCAACAAGACTCCCTCCCTGGCCCCTTGGATCCCGAGGCTCTGGTGGCGAGAGAGCCCCAAGAGGCCCAGACCATGTGCAGAGCGCCAAGCAGCAGCTACGGGGACATGAGCACCAGCCATTGCTCCTCTGGCACCCTGAGCCCTCTGGGAAGAGCCTGGGGCCTTCCAGGGGCCCCCACCCTCTGCTTGACCTTAGCCAGCCCCCTCCCGCCACCCAGCCTTCCCCTGGCCCTTCTCAGAAGGGGGGCAGAGAAGGAAGCGCTTGGGGGCCCGTCTTCTGTAGGTTCAGGCAAGGGGGTCCGCACCAGCCTTCAGCACTCTCCCCCCCCCTCCAGGCCAAAGGGTGCGCAGAGCAGCACCGGGAGCCCTTCGGTGCCAGCAGAGGCGACCGGCAGGCACCCGGCTTCCCTCCTGCTCAGGCTGTGGGGGGTCAGCTGTGCCGTGCTCTCCGGGGGGGGCTCCCTGGGGCCCCTTGGCCAGAAGTGCCTCTCACCCCTCCTTCCCTTGCAGAGAAGCGGCAGGACAACGGGCGAGTCTACTACGTCAACCACAACACCCGCACGACCCAATGGGAAGACCCTCGCACCCAGGGGTGAGTAGCAGACCCGCACGCTCCAGCCGCCTTCCGGGGCTGGCCAGCCGCAGCCCCGGAGCCCCTCCTGCCCTCCGGCTGACGGCCCAGGCTCGGCTGCTCCTGCAGGGCCTGGAGATGGGACGGGGAGGCAGGCAAATGAACGGCTGGGCTTCCTTCCCTCCCGCGGCCAGGATGATCCAGGAGCCGGCCCTGCCCCCCGGATGGGAGATGAAGTACACCAGCGAGCGGGTGCGGTACTTTGTGGACCACAACACCCGCACCACCACCTTCAAAGACCCCCGCCCTGGATTCGAATCTGGGTATGTCCCTCCCTGCCTTCCGGACTCTGCCAGGGGGCCCCTGGGGGCCAGCGAAGGAAGGGGCCTCCCTGGAGCCGGCTCTGGGCTTCGCCAGCTGGGCCTCCAGGAGCCTTCATCTCCCTCCTCCCTCCTAGGAGCAAGCAGGGGGGCTCCCCAGGCGCTTACGACCGGAGCTTCCGCTGGAAGTTTCACCAGTTCCGCTTCCTTTGCCACGTGAGTCCTTGGGGGGGGGGGTGTCTCAGCTGAGGAAGGGGGGCCGGCAGGGCAGCCGGCAGGACCCTCACAGCCCCTTCTCCCCCACAGTCCAACGCCCTCCCCAGCCACGTCAAGATCAGCGTCTCGCGGCAGACGCTCTTTGAGGACTCCTTCCAGCAGGTGAGGCTCGGCCTTTGGGGGGGGGGGAGAGCCCCTGTCCACTTCCCACCCACCCACCCACCCTCGTCCTCTTGGCGGCTTCTCTTTCCAGATCATGAACATGAAGCCCTACGACCTGCGGCGCCGATTGTATATCATCATGCGAGGGGAGGAGGGTCTGGACTACGGGGGCATCGCCCGGTGAGTTGGCAGGGCACGTTGGGGGCTGGGCGGAGCTCCTATTCCCCCACCCCCACCCCCGAAGACTTCATCCAGTCAGGCTGGAAGGTGCGGAAGGCGCAGGCGGAAGGGAGCAGAGCAGCCCGGACTCCCGCCTGCCGCAGTGCCCCCTGCGTGCCCAGCCCTCCCTGCCAGGGCCCCTAACGCGTCTCTCGGTGTCCCGCCAGTGGTTTTACCCTATGGTAGGTGACCTGGCGCTGTTCTACCACAGGGTAGAACCACGGACGGGATGCCGGGGCTCTGCACCGAGCGAGGCAGCGGAGGCCGGGGGAGAGGGAGCACAGGGGGAGGGAGGGGGGGCAAGGAGCTTCACCAGCCGCTGCTCCCTCTCTCCCCAGCGAGTGGTTCTTCCTCCTGTCCCACGAGGTGCTGAACCCCATGTACTGCCTCTTCGAGTACGCGGCCAAGAACAACTACTGCCTGCAGATCAACCCGGCCTCCTCCATCAACCCCGACCACCTCACCTACTTCCGCTTCATTGGCCGCTTCATCGCCATGGTGAGCCGGTCCCTCCCTTCTGGCCCCCGGGAGGTTAGGTGGGACTGAGGCTAGCCACCCCCCCCTCCCCCCAAAAAATGTTGCCCTGCTTGCTGGGATTAAAGTCCAGGCTTCTGCCCGTCTTCAGTGCTTTGGCCAAGGGGGGCCGGTGGGGACGGGCAGCAGCCTCCAGAAGCAACTTTTTCACATGGGGGGGGCTCTTTCAGTGGAGGCGAAGGGCCCCCCCACCTTGGTCACTAACATTGGAGGGGGAGCCGTAGTGCAGAGCAGCCAGTGAGGCAGAAACTGCTGGCACCAATCTGGTAAAAGTCAGATGCTCTTGTGGGCTCAACGGATGCCTTTTAACGGCATTTATTAGTCTGGAAGGGTGGCACCAGACGCTGCCCTCCTGTGCCCAGGGTCTGTTCCCTCGTGGATCCGTCTTGGGAGGCCGCCTTCCTTTCCTTTGGGGGGGGAGCAGGGGCTTAGGAAAGGGAGGAGCGGAAGAAACATCTGGAGAAGAACACGGGACCTTCTGTAGGAAGGAAAACATTTCCTAAAAAAAAATTCCGATTCCCTCTCGCCTGAAGGCTGCTTTGTTTCTCTTACAAATCGGGCATAACGGCGGCTGACCTAATGCCTGGCGCGAAGGGGCACCTACAGGCGGCCTTTGTGCTCCCTCTCCAAATGCAGCATCACTGTTTCTTGGCGGGGGGAGGGGCGGTGCCCACTTCACCCGCCTCCTCGCTTGTGGCTCTGGAGAGGGCGGCAAAGTCAGACTGCCCAGCCCCCGGGGCTGGCTGGAGCTTTGGCTCTGCCCCCCCTCACACCCTGGGCGTAGCTGCAGAAACCCCTGGGGCGCTCCGGAGCTTCCGGCACCCCTTGCCTTGGGCTGCATTACATTAGTGGGGCTGGGGAGCGGGGGGGGGGGACGCTGCAGGGTGCCCCGTCCCTTGCTGGGTTGGCGAGGGCACTGGGCTCGATCCCAAGGCTCCCAACTCATGCCAAGGTAGATGAGCCGGCTGTTGCTCAGAGTCCAAGAGAGGCTGGGCTGCCGATCGGGGTCTCAGGGCCTCCTGTTTTCCCAGGCGCTCTACCATGGCAAGTTCATCGACACGGGCTTCACGCTGCCCTTCTACAAGCGGATGCTGAATAAGCGCCCCACCCTCAAGGATCTGGAGTCCATCGATCCCGAATTCTACAACTCCATCATCTGGATCAAGTGAGTTCTCCCCAGGACCCTCTGGAGGGCCGCTGCTACCTCGGGCCCTCCCCAGGGGGCGCCCTCCGTGTGTGTAGGGAGGGGGACAAAGGGGGTGGCCTTCTAGCTACCAAACCCCTTCCTCTGGGGCTCCTTGGGGATCGGCTTTGGGTGTCAGGGGGGCAGTTTAAAAGCCGAGATGGGGAGGGTCTTGGGAGGGTTGATGACAAGAGTTTGTGCCTTTGGAGCCCCCCCATCCAAGCCCCCCCCCCCAGTCCAACAGCTCCTCTCTGGCGCCTGCAGGGAGAACAGCCTGGAGGAGTGTGCCCTGGAGCTCTACTTCATCCAGGACATGGAGATCCTGGGCAAGGTGACCACCCACGAGCTGAAGGAGGGCGGGGAGGACCTGCGGGTCACCGAGGAGAACAAGGAGGAGTACATCATGTGAGTGGAGCCTTCGGGCAGACGGGGAGGTGCTGCCTGCTCCTTGGGGGCGCTGGGAGCCCCTTCCTCTGGGCCTTGGGGTGCTTGGGACCCCCGCAGGGCAGAGCAGTTGGGCCAGAGGGTTTTGCCGAGGGGTGGCTGAGTGGCTCTCTCTCTCCTGGCAGGCTGCTGACCGACTGGCGGTTCACGCGGGGTGTGGAGGAGCAGACCAAGGCCTTCCTGGATGGGTTCAATGAAGTGGCCCCGCTGGAGTGGTTGCGCTACTTTGACGAGAAGGAGCTGGAGGTGAGCAGGCCGCCCCGTGGCAGCAGGGACCTCCGGCTCTTCCCTCCGGACGGCCACTGGTCCCGGCCCCAGAGCCAGAAGCCCCACAGCCTCACCTGACCGAGGGAGGGAGGGAGGCTCCCGATGTGCGCTCGCGGTTGGCTGGAGTTTTGGGGCCCCAGGTTTTGACTCCCGGAAGCTTCTTGGACAGATCCCTGAGGTTTCCTCGGCAGGCTTTGCAGGAGAGGTTTGTCATTGCCTCCTGCTTGGGGCTGAGAGGAAGTGGCTGGCTTTCCCAGAGCTCACCCTCTGCCAGCGTCTAGCCTGGTGCTTTATACGCAGCACCAAACCGCCTATACAGCCGGTCAGCCAGATGAGCCGAATCTCCTCCGAATGAGAAGGGCGTTCCGGACGGAGGCGGCAGTGGCCTCCCAAACTCCCCCTGGAGGGCCATTCTCCCCCAAGGCCACTCTGGCCGCTCCCGTCCGAGGAGGCCTTGTTGGATTCCTCTGCAAATGCCTCGTGGGAGCCTCTTTCCTGCAGTCGGGGACTCGTGGCCGTGGGCAGCCGAGCGGAGAGGCTCAGGCTGGGGCAGATGGGATCTGTTGCTGCTTCCTCCCCAGCTGATGCTGTGCGGCATGCAGGAGATTGACCTGAGCGACTGGCAGAAGAACACCATCTACAGGCATTACACCAAGAACAGCAAGCAGATCCAGTGGTTCTGGCAGGTGGGCAGCCAGAGGGGCCTTTGGGGGGGGGAGGTGACCCCAGGACTGGTCAAGAGACCCACCCTCCCCTCTCTCACCTCCCGGCCGCAGGTGGTCAAGGAGATGGACAACGAGAAGAGAGTCCGGCTTCTGCAGTTTGTGACAGGGACCTGCCGCCTGCCAGTCGGGGGATTCACAGAGCTCATTGGTCAGTCTGTCCCCCGTGGAAGGTGGGGGGGGGAAGCAGGGGCCATTTGGGGGGGTCAGGCACCCTGTTCTGCAGACGGCCCCGGTGCATTTCCTCCTCCACTCCTCCCCATCAGGCAGCAACGGACCCCAGAAGTTCTGCATTGACAAAGTGGGCAAGGAGACCTGGCTGCCTCGGAGCCACACGTGGTGAGTCAGGGGGGGCAGGACCTGGAAGATACACACCCCCCCTCAAGAAAGGGGCCAGAGCTGCTCCTGCCAACCGGCGCTTCCTCTTTCAGCTTCAACCGCCTGGACCTGCCGCCCTACAAGAGCTTTGAGCAGCTGAAGGAGAAGCTTCTCTTCGCCATTGAGGAGACGGAGGGATTCGGGCAGGAGTGAGGCCCCAGAAGAGCCCCCCCCCCCGCCTGCCAGACAGGGCAGAATCCTGGGGGACACAGCGTGGAGTCATTGTCTCGGGGGCCCCTGGGGCCAGATCCTGTAGAGGAAGCCCCCCAGAGCCCCCCTCCTGCTGCCTCCTGAGTTGCATTTCTCTGGCATCTCAGCCCCCTTCTCATGGGCACTGTGGGTCTCCCCCAGGCCCTCCCCTCCCCTCCCTCTGTCCGGCTCTCCGGCCAGGGCCTTTCCTCACCCACACAGCACTTCAGCAGCAGCTCCCCCCACCTCCCGCCAGCCTTAATATTACCATGAATGGCCGAGGTCTAGCCGAGCTTGGGCTGCTACAGACTGGCTGGCCCCGAGGCCTTCACTCTCAGCAGTTCACCCTTTGGGGCAGCTTCCGCCGGCTGCTCTCCAGCCTGACACGGGAAGCTCTGTGGCTCCTTTGCAGACCAGCCTTTGCTGTCAAGGTGCAGCCGCTGGTCGCCGGAGAGCCCCAGCCGGGAGGGAGGCAGCCCTGGAGTTTGGCCACAGCAGGCCCTGGAAGCATCCTTGGAAACCCCCAGGCAGAATTGACCCAAGGGCTTTCGTGTCCCCAAAGGCAGGCGGCATCAGGGACAGTTGAGGGACTTCCTCGTGGTTGAGCTGCGTGTGAATGTCCAAATTCTACGACTGATTTCCCCCCCGGCTTGTTTGTGTCGGGGAAGCCGGAGGGGCAGGCAGCAGAGGCCACTCCGGGCCCAGGAAAGGTGGGCTTGTGCATCTTAGCGCTCCAGGGGTCCTTTGGCCTCCACGGAGGGTGTATGAATGTGTATAAAAACATGTATGTGAATATATAAATGTGTATATAAAGGTCTCTGGACACCAAGAATTGCAATAGCTTTTGATGGGATCTTCACTAGTTTTGTACTGCACCATCTGCCTCAGTGATGCCATCTCTGTGCAATAAACTATCCGCAGCTGCTCATGCGTGTCTCTGTGTTGCGGGTGGGGAAAGGACCCCGTCGTCAGGTGCCTCGTTCCCAGCTGGAAAGGGGGGAGGGAAGCGGCTGCTGGGGAAGGGGGGCGATGCCCACGGGAGCTCCCCGTCTCTTGGCCTGACTCCAGCTGCATTCCCTGCCGGCATCCTGGTGGCCCATTCGTGGGGTGGGCAGTCGCTCCGCCTGCCTCTGCTGAACGGCGCCAAAGCTCAGCGGAGCAACGGAGCCTCTTGAGGCAAAACCGGTTTCCTCCGTCTGGGTTCTCCCTCACCCGACCAATGCTTCCGCAGGGGCCCTGGGCCAAGGGTGGCATCTGGGGAAGAGTGCCGTGGGCCTCGTGGAGCCTGCTGGGCTGTGGGCGCTTAAATGCAGACAGGCACCAGGGAGACCAGGAGCCGTAGGAAGAGGGAGGCCCCCAGGCAGCTCTCGGCAGGACCCAGACCTCCGTGGATGAGCTCCCAGGGTGGCTCTTCCTCCGCCCTTGGCTCCAGGTGCCTGGCCAAGGAGCAGGTTTTGCTTGGCCTAAAGCCAAGGCAGGACCCTCCCCTTCCCTGGGGGAAGGGAGAGAGGGAGGGAGGGCTGGTGAACATGTGAGTGGAGCTTTTGCTTCCCACCAACTTCAAACTGCCTGGGGTGGTGCTGCCATCTCCCCTGCCACCCCCACCCACCCACCCCCGTGTCATGTCTTGCTGTGAAGCCAAGTGATTGGAGGAGCGTGTTTGGGCAATCGGGGGCTCCTTCCCCATCCCTCCCGTGGAAGAAACTTGGGGCAAGCCAGTCTGGCTGCTGCCCTTTCTCCAAAGGCCACGGAGCTTCCCCCTTCCCAGCCTTGGCTCCTTGCAGTTCAGCAGGGAAGCCCCAGGAACATCTGCCGCTCAATAGGACCCATGGAAGTGGGCTTCCATCTCAATAGGACCCAGGGATGTGGCCTTTTCGCCTGCCCCCAGGTTGAGGGGCTTGGCCTGAATTGCCAGCTCAGAGCTGGTTTGAGGCTCCAGAGCTTTGGATCCGTCCCTCTTAGTGGGTGGCCAGGAAGAGTCTTTTCTCCGGGGAGGAAACGAAGAGGCGGATCAGCAGTGTCAGGTTGTGCGTCCGTCCAAGTCAGGACTGGCAAGACAGAGACCGACCGGGATCAGGACATGCCATGATCCGAATTGGGAGACTCTTCTAAGGGGCTCAGACGTTTTGAGTATACTCGGATAGTGGGAGTGGCCACCCCAGCATTTACTGTTTTGTTCACATTACCCAAAATCTGAACTCTAGGACAAGCTAAGTTTACAAACTGCAGCAGTTCAAAACTAAAACCAACCAACTTTTGTATGGGACCAGGAGACCCTCTTCAGGGCAAAGTACGGCTCTTTGGGCCAAGCATTTGGCGAATGTGGCCACCGTGGTCCGTCAATCAACTTTTAGAGCTTAGAAAGTTATTTATTTGGGGCCTTCTCTTCCCCTGCCGAGCGTCCCTCGAGAGGAAGCGTCTTCGGCAGACACCAAGGAGATTTGCCTTCCTGGCAGCTTCAGTTCTGCTTGTTTCTGATCTAGCTAGGAGAAGGAAACGCAGAGAAAAGCACAACTTTTAGGCTCTCTGCTCAGGAAAAATACCCACCTGGCAAGACCTTTCCATGCTCCCCAAATAGGAAAGTGTAAACAGTGCCAAGGCTCCTGCTTCCCACAGCAAGTTGTGCAAGAGTTGCCTCCTGGTGGAGGAAATCACAAGTGCAAAACTCTTTTGAGTTCCAGCTTTTTCAGAATGAGCCCCTTGTGCTCCTCAGGACAGCAGAGGCCAGAAAGCGCCTTCTCTGCCCCAGGTTTGCCCCCAAAGGAAGCAGGCACCAAAGCAGCCCTGCTTAGCTGGCAGGATGGCGGCATCCAGGGAATGCTCCGCTTCCTAGCAGGAATGCAGAGGGGCCTCCTCCCCAACAGCAACCCACCCGCCTGCCTGGACAGCTGGAAGGATGTTCAGGTGTCTCTGCCAGTCAGGCAGGAAGATGGAAGCTTGAATTTAGCTGGACCCTGGCTTAAAAACAAATCCACCCCAAACTGTCCCCCCCCCCCACCTGATCTGAAGCCCACCGTCTCCCAAGGATACCAGTGTGGCATCCGGACCCCAAAGGATCCAGGCTTCTCTTCCCCATAAGGCTGAATGAGGGCTCCTGAGCCACATTCTGGCCTCTCCAGCAGCCTCTGCAAGCCCATTTCAGGCAGCTCTGAAGTCACCTGGCTCTCGGTCCCTCCTGAGCCACCGAAAAACCTTCCGCCAGAGCAGCCTGGTGCAATTTAATGCTTTTAATTTACAAATAGAAAACATGATTGCTATTACTACTACTTTTTCTCCTTCTTCTCTTCTTTCTTAGCCTCGCCTTTTTCCTTCTCCTTCTCCTTCTCATCCTTCCTCTCCTTCTTACTCTCCTCCTTCTCCTGCCCCTCCTTCTTCTCGGCATCCCTGTTGGCAATCTTATTGTTGATGAGGTTGTGCAGCGCTACTACCGAACGGATCAGGGAGGCCAGGTAAACCACCACCATCTGGTCGTTGGTCTTCAGGTAAAAGGCCTTGACGAACTCTTGCAGGTTGACATCCGGCAGGAGGTTGAAGACATCCTGGAGCTGGTAGATGATCTGGTGGTTGATGGGGAGCTTGCCAACTGCCACTTTTTCTAAGTAGCTCCTGATATCCAAGAGCTTGGAATTCAGTCCCTTCAATCCATGGACCTGGTTGGTGATGCGCTGGGAAAGCGTGCCCACCGTGGTGTCCTTAATGTCGCTGGAAGAGCCAGGGAGGAGAAATCAGGTCATGCCACCGTCATCCTCCAGGGGGCTCTTCCTGGCCATCTGAGCCCAGAGGGCGGGCCCTGGCCCAGGCTTCAGAAAGGAGAGTGGGGCCCAGCTGGCACTTGGCTTTTACCCCCCCACCCCCCACCCTCTGATCTGGCTGGATAAGTGAAGCACAAGCTACCACCTCCCAAATTTTTACCGCAGCAAGTGCTCCACACCGACTTCTTCCGCCTCCTCTGCTCCGATTTCACTGGTTACGTGCTCAAAAGTCTTGGATGTTGGGGTTCCGTCCTTTAGGGCAAAAGAGGAGACAAGCGTCATGACGCTTCTGGGCAGGAAGAGGGTCTTGCCAAGCGGTGTGTTCAAAAACCAGGAACCGAACATCTGGATAACGACCAGAACCCAACCAGCAGGGTAGAGCCCCACGGCTGCCCCCACGCAAAGGGAAAAGCTTCGCCAGCCCCCCCCCCCATGAGGCACGGCCCCTGGGACAGGGGGCTTTGGGGGAATCAGGCGAGTCCCGCTAGGAGACTCACATCGTGGACCTCTTCCACAGAGATGTAGCCTTCGGTGGGCAGACCCAGGTCTTTGGGCTTCACGTCGATGATCACCAGCACCTGTGTGGGAGACCCTCGTCAGGCCCCTCTCCTGCGGGGGCAGCTGAGCCCCCCTCCCACCCGCCCCCCTTACCGAGTTGGAGCAGTAGCGCTTCATGAGTTCGTTGATGGCGATGTCGTTCTTGTGCAGCTTCGGGCCGGTGTGGTACCAGCCGACGATCCGCTCGCGAGCTGGGGCGGGGGGGGGAGGAGGAGGGAGGTTATCCGGAGCCTCGGAGGGGCCCCTGGGGACCCCGGCCCGTCCGGGGGAGTCGGGGAGGGACTCACCGTTGACCTTCTTGAACATCCCGTACATGTTCTCCAGGTAGTCGTGGTCCAGGAACCAGACCGAGTCGTCCTTGTCGTCCTCGTCGAAGGGCACTGCGGGGGGAGAGGG